AACATATCCTGAACGGTGTCATCAGCTCACAGAAGCCGATCCATCCGGGATATTACGGCGTCTTGCAGACAGCCACGCAGTGCGTCGTTAAGACGTAACCACCGCCGTTTCGCTAACCCGCAGGTCAACGAAATCCTGTCGAGAACGAGGTTAGGCTTAACCAGTCGTAATCGTTACACGAGGGGTTCACCTTCTTTGGTTAATCTGTCCCCCGTTGCGAGAGGGACCGAGCGCGCCCGAGCGCTCGCTAGTCCGTACAATCCGACAAGCTCCCCCGTCAGCTTCTTTTGAATTAGCTTCAGGGTGCGCGCCTCCCTATCGCGCGTCAGCTCCATGCCGAGGAAGTATTTCGCCTCCCCCAAGTCGCGCACGTCGAACTTCTCCCCCAAATGCGCCTTCGCTTTGGCAATGCGCTCCGCTCCCCGGGCTGCCACTAGGATGTCGTCCACCCACACCACTATGTAGACCCGCTCCCCGGCTACTTTTCCCGTGAAGAGCGCCGCGTCCGCCATTGACGCCACAAACTCAAAGTTCCCGAGCTCCTCCTTCAGGCGCATGTGCCATGCACGCGGCGCCTGGCGCAACCCGTACAAGGTGCGCTTGAGGTGGCAAACCATGTTGGGCCCGCCTTGCTCGTATCCCTTCGGCTGCTGACAGTAGATCTCCTCCTCCAGCTCCCCTATTGAGGAACGCCGTCTTGACGTCCAGCTGGTGCAGCTCCAAGTCGCGCTCCGCGACCACCGCCAACAATGCACACAATGTGGTGTGCTTGCTCGCCGGGGCGTAGACTTCCTCAAAGTCAATTCCCTGCTTTTGCAGGTGCCCTTTCGCCACGGGCCGGGACTTGTACCGCTCCACATTTCCGAAAGCGTCCCGCTTTATCTTGTAAACCCACTTCATGGGAACCGGTTTCACCCCTTCCGGTTTTTCCGGCGAGCTCCCAGGTCCCATTCTCCAACAAAGACCGCATCTCCTCGTCCATTGACTTCCGCCATAGTTCACCCTCTTCTCCCCTTACGGCTTCCTGATAATTTCGCGGTTCTTCGTGCTCCCCCGTCCCTTTGAGGTGCTCCCCCGCCTTCGGTTCCGCCGCTAAGTTAGCGCGGTACCACTCTCCCGGTGCGCATCTCTCGCGCGCGGAGTACCTCTGGGCAGCCGGTGTTTGCATCCCGATATCCTCTTCAATCTCTTCCGGCTCTGCCCTGATCTCGCGACACCAGTTTCAAACTTGCCCTCATTCTGGCCCGTTTGTGAAAGCGCGCGCTGCGGCCGCGGGTCGTCAAGCGCGCGCGGCCGCGTCGCCCTTGCGCAGAGATTCAACTTTTGGCCCCTCATGGGCCTCCGTGTGAACCTGTGCGCCGGGACCCTCCGCCGTCTGGGAACCGTTCGTGGGGTCGGAGTCAAGCTCGACAACCCCAGCTCCCCCGATCCCCTCGTCAAAGATGACGTCCCGGGAGATGATTAACTTCCCCTTACGCTCCCGGAGCAACCTGTACGCCTTCGAGTCCGGCCTCGTACCCCACAAACACACATCGCTCGCTCACCGGATCTAGCTTACGCCTCCGCTGCTTGGGGACGTGGCGGAACGCCCAGGCCCCTAAAACCCTCATATGCCCGACAGTCGGCTTTTCACCGAAGAAAACTTCCCAGGGAGTCCTCCCATGGGCGCTCACGGGCGTCCGATTCCGGGTGTAGTTGGCCGTCACCACGGCTTCCGCCCACAACTCTTTGGCGAACCCCGAGTCCTCAAGCATTGCCCGGGTCTTCTCCTTAAAATCCCGGTTAAGCCGTTCCGCCGACCCATTCTGCTCGGCGCTATACGGGGCGGTTTTCTCGTGGACCGTCCCCTTGCCCCCGAAAACGTCTTCAAGGGCCTTGTTGACGTACTCCTTGCCCCGGTCCGTTCGCACCGACTTGAGCTGCTTCCCTAATTGCAACTCCAACCGTTTGATCACGTGCTCTGTGATTCTGGCCACCTCGCTTTTCTGCTTTAAAGGAACTACGACCGAGAGTTTGTTGTAGTCGTCCAAGAACGTGGCAAAGTACCAGCTTCTCCCTACCGAGGCTACCGGCATTGGCCCGCATGCGTCCATATGCACTAGCTCAAGAGGCTCCGTGCTCACCAAGTCGGATTCCGGGAAAAAGAGCCTAGTTTGCTTCCCCATAATGCAGGGCTCACACACCCAGGTTTTAAGCGCCCTCAATGCACTCGGTTTCACCCCGACCCCTTCAACAGGGTCGCTCCGCACCATCTTCGCCAATTTTTCGTGTCTCAACCGTCGGTGCACAGCTCCGCCGTTTCCGCCTTCTTCACAAGGAAGCACGTCTCCTTCTCCGCCCGGTTGACCACATAGACCCCCTTCACTTTGCGAGCGACAAGAACTACCTCCCCGTCAACCTCAAGCTCACAGTTGCCGTTCTCCTTGAACTGCACTGACGCAACCCCGGTGGCCTTGCTCACCGAGATCAAATTCGCCGCCACCCCCGGGACATACATCACGTTCTGCACAGCGACCAGACTTTCTCCGGTCGGTGTCGCACACCGCAGCTCTACCGAGCCGCTTCCCTCTGCCCATAGGGTTCCCTTCTCGCCAAACGTGAATTCTTGGCCACTCCCCCCGAACATCTCGAGGTTCTCAACTTGGCTCTTGTCCCGGTTAGGCGTTGGAGCTACCCGAATCGACGAGCCACTCGTCGTCGACACCCCCTCAATGACTCTAAAGGCCACATCC